AACTATTATTACTTATTCCATAGCTGTTTTATAAAGCGTACCTACTCCTAAATATTTTATTTAATACAAACCCATGTACGCTGTAGGAACGAAGCGTCAGTTTGTACTTGCACATAAAAAAAGCAGCATCTGTTAATAACTGTTATCAAAAATTAAAATTTTCTTTTTTATTAAACATTTTTAAAAATTCTCTCACTATTTCTCTTGAATAAAATGTCAGTAGGTAATTGTTATTAACTGTAGTATAAAAGTATTACCAATTTGTATTATAAATCAAAGAAATATAAATAATAAATATGTACATTCACTATATTTTAGAATTTTAAATAATAAAATAAAACTTAATTTAATATAGATACGAATATATACAAATTTCGTTACCATAAAATAATTTATCTACGATATTCAACGTTGGAATTGCTGTAAAAAAAACGTGTAAGTCATACTTTAAACTAAATGATAAAAATGAAATTATAGAACGTGCAAATGATTATAATTTATAATCATATCAAAGATTCTGCTGAACTATTTAATAGACAACAACTGAGTATTAATTTAAAGCGAAAGGTTGTAGAAGAACTTTACGATAAACCATCCAAACTTATTCATAGAGCTTTATCAAAAGATATTTTTACAATGACAACTTATGATTTAACCTTAATCTGTAATAATATATATTTAACGGAATTACATAATGTTTTTATGAAAGAAAATATACAAACTAACCATGATGAAAATTTTATATTAGTGGATGATATCAAAAATAATATTCTAATTTTTTCAATCATTACTAATTTAAAATTTTTGAGTAAAGTTGTTCAATATTTGTTGACGAAACTTTTAAGAGTTGTCCAAAATTGTTTACATAATTTTTTAAAATCCATAGCCTGAAAAACAACAATTATATACCACTGGTATTTTTTTACTTCCTAGTAAAAATATACAAAAGCATTTACATTTAAGTTTGTATATAATTGAAAAGAAAATAATATTTTTATGTTGGGATGCAATTCGTGTAATGGTTAAATATCGTCGGGACGCAATTCATGTGGAAAATGGATTTTGGGACGCAATTCATGTTCACCGAATCATCGGTATGAGCCGATATTAAATATCAAAAATCGGTTATTTGTTTTTTTTAAACCGATATCAAACCTGATAATTTTCAAAAAGATAGGTGGTCAATTTAATAAACAATAAACACGTTACTAACTTCATATAATATGTTGTATATATAATATATATATTATAATTAAAATACTCGTATATCGGTAAAAATCGGATATAGGATTTTGGTATATAAATCTAGTTCGGCGCCCAAGCGACTTTTTGAATTTTTTTTTCAAAATGTTTGGTTTTACTTGTACATTAAGAATAAAAAAAAATCAAGGCGGATGAATTTCCTTTTGAAGTTATGAGGGAAAACTTCATAAAGTTCGGGTTTTCCGTTTCGCGAATTTCGAAGTCGGAACTTAATATTTTCAAAATATATGTTTTTTAATGCTTAATCTATTAGTATAATCAAAACTTACTTATCATACTTACTTTTATAGTTTTTGTACAGAAACCTTGAAAAATAGCATTTTTGGAATTCATCCAAAATGTGGTCAAAAATTGACATTTTTTATTATTATTATTTTTAAATATTAAGGTTTTGATATCAAAGATTTTTCATTGAGGTCAGAATAAGGCTATCTGGTTTAGTTTTAGAGTTACAAGCGTTCAAACACGAAGTGTTAAGTTGCACTCACTCGGACAATTTTAATCAACAATCGATCTATCCAGCCAAGTCTCTATGTGCACCCAAAATAAGCTTTTTCAATTTTCCCTGTTACCTATCTGACGTGATTTTACAAAATAAATTGTGGGATATTTTTGATTAAAATTGTCTGAGTGAGTGCAACTTAACACTTCGTGTTTGAACGTTTTTAACTCTAAAACTAAGCCAGATAGCCTTATTCTGACCTCAATAAAAAAAACTTTGATATCAAAATCTCAATTATTAAAAATAATAATAATAAAAAAAATGTTAATTTTTGACCACATTTTGGATGAATTCCAAAAATACTATTTTTCAAGGTTTTTGTACAAAAACTATAAAAGTAAGTATGATAAGTAAGTTTTGATTATACTAATAGATTAAGCATTAAAAAACATATATTTTGAAAAAAAAACTAAAAAAATCGCGTGGGCGGTAAACTAGATTTGTTCCAGGATATTTTTAAGATATCGGATAATTTGAATATCGGCTCAAGGTTTCAAGCAAATATTGGATCGGTTAACGGTTTTATATCAGTAGCAAATATTTGAATATCGGACATTGGAAAAAAATCATATCGGATCACCATTAATTAATACCCAATAGCCACTTTTTTGTGTGGGTACCTCGTCCTTCGCTACAAACAACGGTTTTTTCATTCGGCGCCGGCGCCAACCGCTGCCTGCAGCGATTTGGCAGCGAAACCGTCGAGTCTTTAATATTGAATATTTAATGGGAAGGACTAGAAATATGGAATTTACGTACATTTCAGTAAATCGGGTACATTTTTTATTAGAAATAAAATAAACATAACAATATATAATACACATTTATCTATAGAAAAAAAAAATTAAAATTTTTGATGTTTTACCCTTCCATTTTGTTCATATCTGTAAGAAAGTAATTTTCTTTGATTTGGTCATAATAATTCAATCCCTTCACGTGTGATAAACTGGTTAAAAAATGGCAAAATATAGGAGGTTTTTTTTTGTCGTTTTCGAGTTTAATAAAAAAACTATTGCACATAGTTCAATAGTACAAGTTCAATGTACATACCAAATATAAATAAAAAAAGAACAGCATAGAGTATATTTTTTTAAAGTTATTTGAATAAAATAATTATTTTAATTTTTAGCCTTAGGAAAAAAAAATAAATATGAATTGCATAATATTATAATAAATCAGGGGTGGCTCGTGCGTAGGTATGCAAGTGCAAACGCACCACACGCCATTTTATTAAAATTATATTTTTTTATTTTTTTTAGAACCTAATAGTTATAAACTGTTAATTTAGAATATTTGGATGCTATTAAAAAAACCGATTGAAATATATTTTTCGGTAAAGAACTACTAATATCGGTGCCAATATACCAATCAGTGCGCAACACTGTGACAGCATCTGTATAAAATACGTATGGTTGACGAATGGGGGATCGAGAAATAAAGTTTCAAAATTTAAAATTTTAATATGCTAGGTTAGGAACATATTTCAACTCGGTACACAAAATTAATGGCATTAAAAAATTTAACATCGTTTGAATTTGTTTTACCATAAGTTGCTGGTTTAATAACAGAAAGAATGCCAATTTCCACGAAATTCACTTAATATTACATGTATAGACAAAGAAGTATCTAACTAAATGTTATTAAGCTTGTAAACAAATTTAAAATAAGGGGCTACTTGATCTTAAGAACAACAAAACAATGTTGGTAAAATTTACGTTTACCCGTAAAATTTACTGAGCTCACATGCTCACATTTCTAGGAAGAGCCACACTGCGGTTTGATCCAACAATTTTTAGTAATGTTATCAATATTATTATTACTTTTTTTTTTTTAAGCATAAATATAAATATTTGTGTTTATTTCGTGTTATAAATTTGAAATTATGTATACACAATAATCGTCATCGAAATGTATAAATCTAAATAGAAAAACATCAGTGCATATAGGATGTAAAAATACTATGACTAGAGATTTGAAAAGAACGACTTGACATCTTAGGCTTCAATAATATATCGTTTTAATAATAAACTAACAATATTTAAATCCGTTTCTTTATAAACTATAAACAAACCACTGATATTATATCAGATGTTATGGTATCAGTTAATAAGATTGAAGATTTAGTGGATGCGAAACCTGTTAGGATAGATGCAGAGACCATCAAATACGAATTTATTTTCAAATCTTTGTCTATAAGGTTTTTACGTGTTAAGTAGGTATATATACCATATGCTTTCATGTTTATTTTGATAGGATTATGATTTTTTCGATGCCGATCATTGAGTATTAATAATTTGTAATATGAATGAATCATATTGATTTATTATAAGTTTATAATAAATTATAATATTGAATCATGTTATAATGAACACAAATATGTATATTTTGAAAAAAAAAAAAATGAAAATAGCATTGATAATGTTATTTAAAATCGTTGAATCGAACCGTAGTGTGGTCTTTCCCATTCAAAACAATGCGTTTTCAATATGAACAGTTCAATGGTTTTGCTGCTTAACCGCTGAAAAAACCTTCGCAATAAAACCGTTCGTCCCAGCGGCGAGAAGAATGCATGCGACGATGGAAAACATTTCAAAGGCCATTTAACTATTTAACCCTTATTAATACTATGGCTTCGCTTTTTATTTTACGTGTTACATATTCAGTTTACTTTTTTATACTTTTGTTACAGAGAAATCGATTATTCAATTTACATACTCTCTGATAGTGATCTGCTATGTAACAATATGATAGTTTCTAAACTAAAACCGTGTTCCCATATTTCGAGCACTGCATAATTATAACAGATACCTACCTACGGGATTGTGTGATACGTTAAAAAAATAAAACGTAAATCGAGAGAAAGCTGAATAACAAAACGTAATACCGCGGTATAATGCATATTTTATTTGATAATTACCCGTGAACGGTTATAAAAGGTAGGTAGGTAAACGTTTTCGGCTGGGCGAAAAGCACACGTTTGATGGTTACACAGAGCATAGACAAAACCTAAATACACTAAATAAATAACCGTGGTAGTATATTGATAGCGGCCGGTTTGTTAAAAAATATATACATAGAAAATCCGTATAATCCGTAGGCACACACCAGAGCTGAAAATAGGAAAAAATAAATATATCTTTCGTTTTGCAGCGTTGGTCGTTTTCAGTCTATAATACTTAAGTACACTATAGAGAGTAATATTTTTTAGAGTAGATTTTGATTTCCAACTGAAATNATCTGCCTCCGCACAATTGCTAAAGCCCCTTGGTACGTCACAAATCTTGCTCTTCACAACGACCTCCAAATCCCTACCATCAAACGAACAGCTATAAAATATTATCTTCGACTCCACTCCAATATGGAACATCATTCAAATACCCTCATTGCTCAACTTCATACCAATGCTCTTCCGGACATCCAAGACAGACGCCTCAAACGTGAATGGCCCAGAGATCTTCTCAACGCACATATAGCATAACATGTTTAATACACAACCCCCCTAAATTAACTTCCACGTAGAAATTTCTAATGTAAAATTTCTACTCACTGTCTTTTTTCACCGCCTCCTTTTAATTATTTTCAGATTTACTTATTGTACCATTATGTATAGATTGTAAATTACACAAATAAACGATTTAAAAAAAAAAAAAAAAATCTCTGATTCGAAAAAAGATTAATTTTCTACAAATATTTTACTATAGAAGGGTGCGTGCTACTTTTTGGGGCATGCATTCAGTGTAAGACGTACCAAAATTTGTATACGAAATTTATTATAATTAATAGTGGTCTCTTTTCGAACGCGTGTTGGAAAATCAAAAGTCGACTGGTCGCGAAATTCTATTAATGTATTTATAAATGTATACATATAATATAAGAATAGATTAATGATTGTTGTGAAAAAATAAAAAAATAAAATAAAATTTACTCGAAATATAGTCGTAGGTGGTATTTCTTGGTAGATGTAGACGTCATCGGTTTTTTTTTTTTAGGAAAAACGATATTCGTTTTTCCACCCGTTATAAATTATTGTTTTGAACATAATTTTGGATACCGTTTTCTTTATTTCGATTTTGTAAAGTAAACGAAAAAAAATAATATTATTAAAATATATTTACGAGAGAGTTATGTATAACCATCGAAAAAAAGAATATCGTTTTACATCTATACAGTTTGGCGGAAAAACAGAAAGATCAGACACCAGTAAAATATCCGGTTGGAGATAAAAATAATCGTCCTGCAATATAATATCAGCGTACCTAAAGTCTTTTATAGATTTTTCACTATTTGTTCGCACCAAGTGTACATTATATATGATATATTACACATATACGAGTATGTGTTCACTATGTATAGGTATACACGCGGACCGGAGAAAACGTGAGTCGATTTTTTTATTCGTACAACCGTATACCGTATACCCAGTATACTTACCGCTCTTATTATATATATAAATAATAGACAAGAATTATTTTATTTAACATCAGCGCATCGTATCCGTGATGTTTTATTCGATTAACCTTTATTTTAGATCAAATAAAATATAAAGGTATCTTCTCGGGACGAGAAAAAATATACCTATACAAAACGTTGGAAAATGCTTATAAAAATGGTACTTGCAGTGCGCTGTATATTTCAATATTATTAATAATTGTAGTCGTGGTCCTTTTTTTTCTTTTGATATTTTTGGATTCCGCTCTCCCTTCATTTCTCGATTTATTTAACTTAATATTATGTTTATCTATAAATCTTCGAGTGATTTTATTTTATTTTTATTAAACATATCAAAAAAAAAAAAAACGACGATTACTAAATTTTTTCTCCATGACATTATTAATTAATTAATTTAGAAATATTTCACGTTCCTTACGTGTTAGTCGAACGTAAACAATTAAGTAGACATTATATTATTATTTATCTTCTAATTACTTCGGGGAACAAACGTGACCAATTTAAATATAATATTTAATTCATAATTTGAATATATTATTAAATGAATTTTGGGTGAAAATCTATAGAAAAACAGGACACGATTTTAAACACTTTTTTTAACTGTATAGAATAATTTGAAAGTTTTACGCGTGAACAATTTTCGTACCTATATTATAATAATAATAGTCTGATAGTTGACAAAAGGTCGGACCGGCAAATGTATAATTTTTGCAAAATCCAATAATTATGTCAACTTTTCAGTCTAAAGATGAATTTTAAAATATGATTTTATTTTGCACATGCAGACATAATTTAACATGATGGGTATATAAAAGTAACTAAAGGCACTAAAGGCTAAAACATTAAAGCTGCAAGTCGCAGGATTGGTAAATAATTTTATTTTGCAAATAAACGAATCTGCAAATTGCTTTTTTCGACGAAATGCGAATAACTCTTTTAAAACGACTAAAACGTGAATAATTTAAGTTATTTTTTTGGATATAACTGAGTTAAAAATATAAAAGTTCAATACGGTTAAAACTATTCCTCAACATACGAGTATAATACATATAAGTCACATATAAAATTATTATTTGATACAATGTAACTTTTTTAAAATCGCATTAAAACTAATGGAATGGAATCCGAACGCGTTTAGTTTTATTTATATCTTTATAACTTTTCACCCGATTTAGATATTATTTTAATAGTTTAAGAGCTACAAAAAAAAACTGAAAAAAAATGTAAAAAAAAAAAATAAAATAAAACTACTACCGAAAATATTATATTCTGGACTTTTTTTTTTTGGTTTTAAATCCGTAAAGTTCCAGTTATTCTTATATACATGTATCTTTAAAGTTATTTTTTAAGTAATACATTTTATATTCTCTATGTTAACATCATCAACTTCAGAAATAGTTTCTGGTAGAAAATGTCTAGTCGTAGAAATGTATATTACATTTGAAAAAAAAATTTGTTTTGCCACTCCTGAAAAAGTTGCTTTTGGATGATTATATACCAACGATATGGCATACGATAAAGTTATAAAGAAGGCTTGATATATTCATCGATTTTTTTTGTATTGCGTTCATTTATTCTCTCTCCGAGTGCAGTCCATTTGTTTTGAATCCGATGGCGCCGTCGATCTCTTTCTTAACTATTCTATACATATATTCTATATATATTCTATATATATATATATACATTATTTACCATTCGAGGCACACCAAAACTATAAACTAAAACCCTTACAAATTATCCTTTAAAAGTTTTACATCACATTGCTGCACAAATTATCTGCAACCGTACTTTAATACTTTCACGTAGATGTTTGAAACTTATTGTAGAGTTAGTCCTACAAACATTAGGTGCCCTTCGTCCCATATAGTCGATTTACTGATATTTTATCTACAACTGGGCTAGTTAACGTACTTGAGATTCGTGTGTTCATCGATCGTTATACACATTTTCATATTTTTTATATTAATATGTATCTACTGCAACACTTATTAATTTACACTTATTCTATTGATTTGGAAATATATTATCGTTTATGTATGATTTAGCTTATTAATTATATATGTTCCCAAAAACGTTGCATAATAACTCGACTAATTTCAAATGTCACGATAAACATTTTTAAAATGTAAAATTAATTAAAGAATAAAAAAAGTTGTGGTGAGCCTATATAATTTTTTTCCGATATTTAAATATTTGATATTTCTAAACATTCATGACAGAAATATTTTGTGGTTGACCCGTTTTTCAAATTTTTAACAAAATGAGAATGTAATGGTATTGTTTTGATGTTTGATTTTTTTTTTTATAATTTGTTTATTTTTGAAAAATTTTTTTACCAGAAATCTTGCTCTAACTATCAACTTCATAATACTCATTTTTTAAAGGAGATAACTGCAATAGGCAGTGGCCTATAATCATTTTTTTAAATTTAAAATTTAAGGATCAAATACAAAAATGTCTTGTATTTTATGCTGCAGCTTTATGAGCTAATGCAAATGCATATAATAGTAAGCTGTAAGCCAAATCGCAATAAAAGCGTAAACGCAATGATCTTTTATACCTAATGTCTACACCGCAAAGTTTTTACTTAATAAAAGAATGCAATGAAGACTGTTCGCCTCATATTACATGACGTGTACGAGAGCTGTGGACTAAAAGTGTTTCGAATACAAACATAATTAAAACTCCCTTAGGTTGTGTAAAGTAAGCATTTCGAAGTTCTAAAGTTAGATTATGACAGTACGTCATGCATGCATATAGGTATAGCCGTATAGGTACTTACCACCGGTATAAAATGTATGTAACTTAAAACGCTTACACACATATCAATATATATATATATATATTACATTGTATTCGACTGAGAACATTATGTGCTGATTACAAAATGTAATTCAAAGTTGAGAACATTAAATTTTGTTGTAATAATATGAATGTACATATGTGTTTTCAAGTATATTATCCTTTATGTAGAGGGTGATCAATTCTCGATAAGACATTTATTATCTCGAAAAATATTCATTTTTTTTGGACAACTTATGAAAGAACTAGTTTTAAAATGTTACATCACATTTATTTGCTGTAAACTTTATTTTTGGGGGTTATATGATTTGAATTTAAAAATAAATTTCAATATCAAAATGTATTTTAACAAAAACTTCATCTATTTATGGAATTTTTAATATAGTATACAACATCGGTATCACACTAGTATAATGTACTTATTATATTATGTGTACCTTTTAGTTATACCAAATTAATGGTATTAATGTATCTATCCATTCTAACCTAATCTATCCTATATTATACTACACCAATTTAATCCGGATTAATTCAAATACCGGATTTAACAAAATATAACAATTCGTATAATTCGGGTGATTACAAAATTCAATATTACTAATTTAAAATTAAAATTAATAATACCAATAATTTAAAATTACAATAAATAATTATTATTTACTCATAATTCACTAATTATATCCAATTATGCTAAACATTAAATAACTTAGTGTATCTTACTTTCTCAAATTCCTACGTACAATAGTGTCATCAGTACATCAGCAGTATCAGCTCTTTTTTTTTAATGTTAAAGTACAATAGCTCATTTGCACCGCTTATACAATTTCATAAAAAAAAAAAAATATATATAACAATATCACTGAAAAATTACATAGAAATGCTAAAGAATATTGAATACTACCACCGTATTCCTTATAATATTAATAATATTTCAATTTTTAAACAATTTGAGATAACTTTTTCTATTTATACTTATATTTAATAATGCCTAAGACTTATTTATTCGAACATATCAATATTAATTTAAGTGTTATCGATAATTAAATACTTGACTTTGTTCTAAAACAAGAGGTTTTTAATGTCTATGTTTATTTATGAACACTATATATTTATACTTTATTTATAAATGAGTATAAAATATGTGTATCCCTTGTTATCATTAAACTTAAAAAAAAATTACTATTAACTTAACTTTTATATGATAATAATATATTTTTCAATTAAACTTTTTGATAGGTAGGTAATATTCTGTATGTCTACCTGCCTGTGCGCATAATAATTTTTTTTAAAAGGAGCAGGAAAGTATATTATTTATGAAAAAATAACAAAAAAGACCGATATACTTTGCACCATAGGCAACTATAGGTTTCTGT